TTGTCCAGACCGATTGAGGTCAAGCCACTGTGGGTTGAGGCCAGAATGGGGGTGACATTGTGCGTGCGTTTGGGGTGCGCCTCAGGTGCGCGCCAGTTTCGTCTTGCAGCAGTGGCGGTAAGGTCCACTAAATATTCAGTAGGTCCACAGTGGAAGATTTGTGAGCCTCTACGAGGTCTTAGTCTGTTGATTGAGACCTGTCCTCCCATGCACCGTTGTAAAACTAACTTATATACTCTCATAACTTCCTGTAAAGATGCATGTTTCGCACTGGGAATTAATAATAGGTTCTTAGACACCTCGATCTATAGAAGATGTGACTCCCTGAGATACTTTTTTACCTCTGAGGTGGGTTAGGTCCGGTGACAGGCGTAGAACGAGGACAATTTTATCCAAGAGTTAGGCATTTGTATACTGGAAGGGAGCCTAAAGGCCACGAGTATAATACCAGCTGGAGTTGAGGGAGAATTTCAGTTTTGGCTGTTTGGACAAATATCAGAATCCTATCTGTTTGGATAAGAAGTAGTTGAGAGCACAAAGGGATTATGGGATACGTCGATTTGAGTTGGCATTCACGAACTGAATGCAGGCATTAACATCTGGATTTCACTTGCTGCTATAGCCATAGGACCCTCCCCTCAAGCTCCATATGATTGCATGCAGAGGAATTCGCCTTACTCAATCAAAACAAGGCATTCGTTACCATAGGCTCAGAGATCAGCAAGTATTTTAAGTGCCACGGGGGAAGTTGTACCACAGTCCGACCGTGAAATATGGTATATTTCAAACGCTGATATTTACGTAGATGATAATAAAACCAAGTCAATCTGCGAAATGTCAGCTTTTAGTAATTACCCATTATGCATTATGCCCCGGTGTGTGGGTCAAAAGAAAATTATGAGTTTACAGGACGTCATTATACGCTCCTGCATGTAGGGCGATCGGGAGACAATCAACGCGTGTTGCGAGACGAGGGAGTTTGTGCCCTGACTAGAATCACGCACGTACTCTCACAACTAAGGGTTATTCCTATGGAGCTGGCTAGACGCGAAGCGGAGCTAGAACCTTTGATTCTTGCTACCGAGCGAAGAACGGATCCCCGCGAGAGCTAAAATGAAGGGCCCGGAGGTAGATGGGGATTTAGACGGATAAGGGGACGGGGAACCGCTCTCTGCGGATAGTGACGTGAATGCAGACGCTGACTTGGATGGTGATGCCAATTCCAACATTGGCGGCATTGGCGAAATGGGTGGATTCAAGGAAAATGGTCCAAGGTATCATGAGAGAATAGGCAAATCAGGGTCGCCGGAATTTGTTGGCGATGTCCTCGAGGTTGTTGTTCATGCTCCCATGTTTTAGTCACCCTCCCTCTGCATCATTTTCTATTGATCTGCCTAGTGTTTCTTTCACTTCGGCTCATTTTGTGCACGTGCTCATTGCTGACAGTCAGGTACTGTCGGTTCTCGTTAACCCCATCGATTGGAACGACAACGATCACGGTTCTGATTCTGCCCTTCGTGAGACATACCTCCACCGACTGTTATGTGTTCTCAACTTTCATCCCGTTTCCACAGTTTTATTGGCTGCGCCTTATTGATTTGAAATTGAAAGGCCTTAGCATTTGAAAACTCGACACTGCGCGCAGAACCATACACTACGAAATTGACATCTTCGTGGTCACACTTGAACGGAATAAGCCAGGACTTCTCTTTGAAACGAGGAGCCAGGGTGTAACAACCATTGCAGCAAGTTCAGGTTAGAGAGGCCCGAATAACACCACTTACATCAAAGAGCTTGATATGGAAGCGAAAGAACTGGGGGGCTGCCCAACACTGACGATTTAAGTAAGTTATAACATGCGAGCCAGAAGCAAGCACGCTATTTGATAGGCGTCTTTTGGCGTCGCTGGTTTTGAG